AAATTGAATTACTAAACTTTAATATTCCAAAAACTGCACAAGCGCCTACGTAACTTTGTGAAACCTTTGCTGATATTGGAGGGAGGAGAGTGGATAGAAGGTCAAATAAATCATGTATGTTGGCCACCTTCTTGCTGTACTTCTGCAGATTTCTGTTATCCATAGTGAGCAGTGTCGACATTTTCCTGTCTCTTTTTCAGATGTTTCCATTACAAAAGCAATGTATCTCCAGCTAAACAAGGTGGTTTACCATTTACTTTTTAAGAGAATTTCTTCTCTGTCCCTGACCGCCATAAGTCACAGTGAAGGAATAAAAGTATGTAAGTCCACAAGGAACAAGAGACCACAGAAGGAAACCATCGAGAAGAAGATTTGGCATCTTGGGAAGATCTCATTTCTACTGAGGTTAAAATATCAGGTGGAGGAGGAGTGACAGGTATGGCAGAGTAAGCTTCAGCTCCTGTGCCTGCAGAGACAAGGGGAACTTGCCTAAGAGGTTCCTGGAAAGGCTTAGCATTTAGAGACCCAGGCACTACCGAAGATGAAGGTGAGATGTAGGACTGGAAATAAGGGGCTTGTTTGGAATCTATGTAATGAGCAATTGAATGCTCCCAGATCCCCCTTCTAAAATTACACAGCCACATGATGAGTCCCTGAAAAAGATCAGAAGCTGATTCTCTAGTGAAACTGAAAAAGAACATTCCAGGTGTGAACCAGGCACTGAAAATGAGGGAATTCAGTGAAAATTTGCACTTTAAACAACAAAACACTTATTTCCTTTGCTTCCGGAACACAGTCAAGCACATGTGCCATCCCACTTCCCAGACAAGATGTTAAAGGATTCTTCTATTAGGAAAACAGATAACCCCAAAGAAAGCTGTGCATATACTGAAATATGTGGGTCTCCCAATGAAGAGCTAACCCTTGATTGTACCATGGTGAAACCCCATAGCCTACAAGACCTGTGCAGGCATATAAAATTTCATATCAGATTTTTGTACCTTATTTTAAAACTAAATAGTCAAAAACTCTAAGATTTTTAGGAAAACCTCCAACATGAAAGAGAGACAACAAATGGAAAAAATGAATAAGAAGAGAAACAAACACTATACAAAGAACAGAAGAATAATTACAGTATCCTGAGAGAAAAAAACTGCACTCATGAAACGAGACAGAGTACTATGGAAAAGGAACTGTGTTAGTTAAAATATAATAGGCTCTGCTATAGTAACAAACTCTCAGTTTTCAATGACTTAGGACAACTAAAGTTTCTCATTTATACCAAGTCCAAAGCGACCAAAAGTTGTTCTTCTTAATCTGGGACTCAGAGATTCAGGTTCCCGTTATTCTGTGATGTCACCATCTTTTCATGTGGCTTTCAAGGACACAGCAGGAGGAGAGAGGGATGGACTGAGGCACAGCTTTTAACTGCTTCAGCCTGGGAGTGACATATATCATTTCTGCTCACAGACTATTGGCCAGAACTAGTCCAAATCTAACTGAGCCTAGAAAATATAGAGAAGCACATGGAATATTAGTTGTCTAATATCCTTGCAACAGGAACTACCAGAACAAGAAAGAGCTCTTGAAAATTAATAAGACAGCTGGAATTTGCATTTCTATAGAGAATTTAGAGGATAAAGTTGAGGAAATTAGGAAAAAATTTTGTAAAAGACAGAGATTAAGTCTATAATCCATCCAATTGTTAGGAACTCCATGAAGAGTACAGAGAAAAAAAGATTGCGAGGAATTTTTCTATGAAGTAACACCAGAAGTTACCCATGGATTATAACCTGCAACTCTCCAGATTAAAAGGGCCCACTGATACAGGCATTCATCTTTTGTGCTAAAAAGCTATGGTCAGGAGTCTTGCGATATAAGGCCCAGCAATCTGTGGGTAAAATAAAACCCCTCAGAAGCATGGCCACCACTTAGTTTGACAAAAGGGAACAGTGTGACTGGCAAGCATCTCAAGGAGCCTGCTCCATTCAATATACAGTGTTATATCTTGTGTTTATCACTTAACATTATGTAATAATTGTATTTCCACGGCACTGGATTATCTTTGTGGCCGTTACATTTACTGATTGCAAATATCCTATAGAAGAGATATACCATGTTTTACTTAACCCTTCCACTATACTTACGTTTCACTAGACTTACGTTTCCAATCTTTTGTTGCTGTAAATAAGACAACCATGAATATCTTATTGTCTAAATTTTAATTTAAATTTGGATTATTTCCCTAGGATGGATATTTCCTTAGGATTATTTCCAAAACTGTAAAGATGAGAGCAAACCTTATTTATATTTTCATGACTCTTGGTAGATTTTACAAAAATCAGCTTCCACAATTACACCAGTACATAAAGCATCCAGGCATACCTGCACGTATGGGTTTATCCACACATTCACTGGCATTGTATATTTTTATTGAGAGTTTTTGCTAACTTAGGAGGAAGAAATGGCTTTGTATATGTTTTTCTGTATAATTGTTTATAACAATTTCATTTTAATAAATTAACTGTCCATAAACTTTGCTTATTTATCTATTTAGTGCTTTATTACTTTACAGGACGTCTCTATATTAACCCTTTGCTAGTTATGCCTTTAGCTTTTTTTTAATATGCTGAAATTTTAAAAATCTTTATGTAAAAAATATGTTGATTCTTTCTTTGGTGATTCATTACTTATAAGAACATAGTTCTACAGAAAGTTGATAACCACTTAATTTCTTGTTGCTTTACTATGATTAACTTTTTAAGTCCCTAGTAAAAGAAGTTTAGTGTTTATTTAATGTGTGCCTATATTCTAGGCACTGGAGGTTCAAGACCAATAGAAGAGGTCCCTGCCTTCCAATAGTTTATAGAACTGATGCTTCCTACAAATTGTCAGACTGTCCCAGCACCACAATGCAGAATGCTTTCTTTTTCCATTGATGTCTCATGTGTCACAAATTCTTATATGTAAATATATTCTGTCAAAATCCCAATGGCATTTTTCACAGAAATAAAACAAGCAATTCTAAAACTTGTATTGAACCACAAAAGACCTTGAATAGTCAGAACGATCTTGAGAAAGAAGAGCAAAATTGGAAGCATCACACTCCTAGATTTCAAACTATATTACAAATCAATAGTAATCAAAACAATATAGTATTGGCATAAAAACAGACACACAGATCAATGGAACAGAAGAGAATGCCCAGAAATATACCTATTCACATATGGTCAATTAATTTATGATATGGTCAATTAATTTATGACAAACGAGCCAAGAACATACAATGGGGAAAGGACAGTCTCTTCAAGAAATGGTGTTGGGAAAACTGGACAGCTACATGCAAAAGAATGAAACTGGTACACAAATATTAACTCAAGATGGATTAAAGACTTGAATGTAAGAACGGAAACTATAAAACTCCTAGAATAAAACAGAGGTGATAAGCTCCTTGATTTTGGTCTTGGTAATGATCTTTTGGATCTGACAACAAAAGCAAAAATAAACAAGTGAGACTAAATCTAAAAACCTTCTGCACAGCAAAGGAAACCATCAAGAAAATGAAAAGACAACCTACAGAATGTGAGAAAATATTTGCAACTCATATATCTGATAAGGGGTTAATATCTAAAATATATAAAGGACTCATACAACTCAATACTAAAAATGCAAAAAATCTAATTTAAAAATGGTCAGAAGATCTAAATAGACATTTTTCCAAAGAAGATATACAGATGGCAAACAGGTATATGAAAAGATGTTCAATATCACTAATCATTAGGGAAATGTAAATCAAAAAACCACAATGAGACATCACCTCATACCTTCAGAATGGCTATTACCAAAAATACAAATAAGTGTTGGCAAGGATGTGGAGAAAAGGGAGCCTTTGTGCACTCTTGTTTGCCTTGCTAAATGGAGTGACCTTGGGTTCGTCCTTAAAATTTGGTCAGCTAGTGGTTTTCTGGTCCTATAAGGCAGATCCAATCCAGTATATTCACTTATCTGAGCTTCCTGATTCTTTCCTCCACCATTTGCAATAGCAGTTTTGCATTTTTACTTCACTTTGTGTTGGTCATTGCTTTTTCCAATGTTCTGAGAGGTATGCCACCAATAATTTAGAGTCATCTGCTAGGCCCTTGTAGGGTATTATCTTATGGCTATGATGGAGTGCTCTGATATCCACAAACTTCCCCTTAACAAACTTTATATTCTGTTCTCCCTCAGTCAAGCACTCTCAGGGGCCTCTGTTAGACACACTCCCACAGGTTCTGCCAATAAATTCTCTCTAGGTCCTGAGGCTCCTTCAATATATAGTATCTCCCTGTGGCTGATCCAGCACTTTTCTGATTGAGCTACCCTGAGATTTGATGCTAGTTATGAGTCTGGTGGCCAGGAGGGGAAGTGGAAAGATATCTTGAAGAGGACTCTGCACTATTTTATAAGGCCTCATTTGAAATCTCTTTATAATCTTCAAGAAGGGTGGGGGTAGGAGGCCCTACCTTCAATAGAGAAATAGACCACTTTTTCAGGATCAGAGGGTTCACAGGAATCAAAGTTCAAAGTACATCTACACAGTGATATCTTTATCCCAAGTCTCAAGGTCACATTCTTTGCCCATTAAGGCCCCAACTCTGACTTAGAGGGCTTGCCCAGGCTGAGAAGTCTGCCTTCTTGGAGTTCTGCATTATTGCAATTAAGTCCTATGCCCCATTTCAGCTGTTTCTGCTCTCACCCTATCCCAGCTGCAGGAGTTAAGCACTTCTGACTCTCATGTTTTGCTATAAATTTTTGACCAATAAATCTGTAATTTTCTCTCTTCAGCTACTTGTCCAATTCCAGAGACCTTATAGTCATTAATTTCCCACAAATTAGTCTCAAATGCTGACTCATTGTACCAATTAGCACATCCCCTCCCACGTGAATTTCACCCCAGCTCATTACAGATGGAAATCTTAGCAGCCACACTATGTAGCAAGGATTATCAATTCTCCACCTACCTTCAGCTCTGGGGTCCTCATTGCCATCCAGACAGGAAGTGAGCCAGCTCCAGAATCCCAACCTCATGGTAGCCTTCTTAAATTCACCTCTGAAGCCAGTGGTCTTAAGTTGGGCTCCTGAGCAGCTGGCACTGAGATGTCCTTAAATGCTTGAGAAAGCGCTCTCCGGATAAGAGGAGTGGTAAGAAGCAGAGGAAGATGGAAGTAGAAAGCTTAAACGAGACTGTGGTACCTACTGAAGACTAGTTTCAGTCTGACTCCACAGAGAGGCCGAAGTTCTACCACAACAAGGCAAGGAAGCCAGCCTTTTCTACCACGAAGTCTGCTACCATTTGCTGAGCTCTGCCCTGGGTGGGAAGGGGCGTTGCCCCCTGGGCAATAAGACTTCTTTGGCTGAGGACTAGTTTCAAGGGTTGGGGCAGCTGTGAATTGTTATCAGTCAACAGGAGCCTGGGGGTGGGCGCACTGCCTGTAAAGAGGATCCAGGTGGGGCGCTAAGAGACGCCATCACACTAACATTTTTCATTGACTCTCTCATTTAAACTTCACAAGTCCAGAAGGGAGGTATTAAGATTGTCTCTATACTACAGATAAGGAAAATGAACGTTGAGAGTTTAAATGACTTTCTCATGGTTACAAAATGAGGGTTCACGTTTTCAGGTGTAATAAACTTATAGATGAAAAGGAAATACCTCAGCTTATGCATTTGTGAAATGGGAACAGACAGAACCCATTTACGATCATATCTTTGGAAGCTTAAACTGGGAACTCTAGAGTTAGCCAATGGGAATAAAATCCTGAGTGTTAGTGCTTTTCAATAATATTGCCTCTTGAATATAATTGTGATTTTTTTTTTTGCGGTACGCGGGCCTCTCACTGTTGTGGTCTCTCCCGTTGCGGAGCACACGCTCCGGACGCGCAGGCTCAGCGGCCATGGCTCACGGGCCTAGCTGCTCCGTGGCATGTGGGATCTTCCCGGACCGGGGCACGAACCCGTGTCCCCTGCATCGGCAGGCGGACTCTCAAGCACTGCGCCACCAGGGAAGCCCCGATAATTGTGATTCTTATTCCCTAAATATTCTTGATCTCATGTTGATTTTGTCTGTGTGTGTGTATCAACTTAGTTACTCATAATATTTAATTAGTTGAAACACCACATTTCCCAACTCCTTAGGATAATAGGTGTTAAAAATTACTAAGAAATTCTCCATTACGTGGTGGAAAAGACAGAAAAACAGTCTAGACATGAGATTAATAATTTATTTAGCTTTGGCTGTGTTAAGCACTTTATGTCCATTTCCTCATTGTGAAACAAGTATTAGCATCATATCCCACGATATAGATAAGAAAACTGAAACTATGGGACATCTATTAATTTGCTCCAAATCACAGAACTAGGAAGGGATGGGTCTGGGAATTGAACCAAAACCACCATCTGACATCGAAACTACTATTGGATGTTAAGGAGAAAACGGCACATCATAGATTCATGTATATAGAGACAACTGGTGACGCACATTTCAGTATAGGTAAAGGAAATTTTCCACCTTCTCAACTCTTTTTCACATGAACCAAATCTGAAGGAGATGGAAAATTTCAGAAAACACTCATTCACTCAGCCCATCACTGAGCAGAACATTTCTGAGACAAGGAAGAAGAATTGTTAATAATGACCTGCTAAAAAGTATTTTTCTAGAGGCAGTGCCCTGAGCTGACACAGGATTGAGTGGCTCTGATTCCACAGCTTGAGTGAAATCACCAAATCAGGTTCTCTGGCCTAGACGAGGATGAGGTTTTGTGGCTGGAGTGGCTATCTATCATTATGGAAACCATGCTAACCACTAGACCTGGATGGTGGCCTCTTCAGAATTCTCCTGAGGTTTTCTTTGTTTCCTCTCCCTACTCGCCACCTCCCACCCCCAATTAATAAATCCCCTGCTGAATCCCTCTATGTTCTGTTTCCTGGGGTCACTCTTCAAAAGGAAGCAAGGTTGTTCCACTGTTGGCAGAAGGCCACTTCTGTTGTCCTTGGACAAGTTACTCAGCCTTTCCAGGTATCAATTTCCTCATTTGTGAAAGAATAACCTACTTCTTCAGATTGTCGTGGGGGATACATTCATTTTATATGTAAGTACATGGTGTGTGTGTGCGAGCCTAGGATAAAACATTTCTGAATACATTCAGATACCTTCCCTACACCTCACCCTGACATACATACACTACCGTGTGTAAAATAGATAGCTAGTGGGAAGCTGCTGTATAGCACAGGGAGATCAGCTCCGAGCTCTGTGACCACCTGGGGGGGGGGGGGGGGGGGGGGGGGGGGGGGGGCTAAAGAAGGGGGGGAGATATGGGGATACATGTATATGTATAGCTGGTTCACTTTGTTATACAGCAGAAACTAACACACCATTGTAAAGCAATTATACTCCAATAAAAAAAAAAAAGAAATAGTTGGAGGAAAGGAATATTACTTCCCTGTTCAAAACTCTTACTGGCTGTCTATGACCTATGAGATTAAAAACTAACCCTGCCTTGTATTCAAAACCTTCCACAGCATGGCCCCTAATGTCCTTCTCATCCACCTTTCCCATGATACCCGACCTCTCACTAGTCACTGAATGTGATCTGCATTTGCTCACCTTTATGCTGTTCTCATGTCCCTCTCTCTACTTGCACTAGCCTCTCCCAATTTTGCCAAAATCATATCCATCACTTTAGTCTCAAAAAGTGTGGAAATTCTATGCAAATCAGATTTCAGTAAATTATGGAAATTGTGAGTATTCCATTCCTTCAATATAGCTTATCATTTGTCATGGGTGAAACTTGAATATTAAACATGTTCTTTGGGCTTCCCTGGTGGCGCAGTGGTTGAGAGTCTGCCTGCCGATGCAGCGGACACGGGTTCGTGCCCCGGTCCGGGAAGATCCCACACGCCGTGGAGCAGCTGGGCCCGTGAGCCATGGCCGCTGAGTCTGCGCGTCCGGAGCCTGTGCTCCGCAACGGGAGAGGCCACGGCAGTGAGAGGCCCGCGTACCGCAAAAAAACAAAAAAAAAAAACATAAAAATGGTCCTTGATGTTATCAAACCATGTATTTTAAGTGTACAGCTTGATGGATTTTCCTGAAGTACACACACCCACGTAACTATCTCCTGGATGAAGGAATAGAGTATTATAAATATCCAGGTAGCCTCCCTCAAGCTGTTACCTGAAAACTGGATTCGCTTTTTGGTGGGTGTCAAGCCAAGACACAACCAAGCAAAAGAGCAGAAGGAAGGAAGGATTTATTACTCACAACAAGTTGGGAGAACACCGAGGAAATTTCCTGAAGTAGTATTTCCCTGAACAGCAAAATGAGCGAAGTTTTAAGCTCAGGGTACTTGCATACATGAAGGGGCTTAGGCAGGATAGTATGTGCATATTCATGGAGGGGCTTGAGTGGAGGAGAATGCAGCTTAGAATTGGGGCAAAGGTGGACAGAGTCCTGGCTCTAGTTGACTGAAGTCTCAAAGGTCAGCAAAGGTCATCATCATCATTCCTTAGGTTCCAGTTAGTCTGGTGGTGGAGTACTCGAGGGGGGTTTAGAGCTTGCAGAATAGCTCAGGAATGTGCTTCAGGCTAATCTTTACCTTCGAAACAGAAATGGGAGTCTTTACAACTGATTTATTGTCCCCAATATGGTTAAGTTATTTCCTTGGCCTGGTCAAGAGCAAGCACTTGTGGCCAGGCTGAGATCACAAAATGGCTTAGGCCTAAAATGGCTTCTCTTATGTCAAGAAAGTTATGTCTGGAGAAAGATAAATACTATGTCACTTACATGTGGAATCTAAAAAAATACAATAAACTAGTTAATATAACAAGAAGCAGACTCACTGATATAGAGAACAAACTAGTGGGTACCACTGGGGAGAGGGTGGGGAGGGGCAGCATAGGGGTGGGGGAGTGGGAGGTACAAACTATTGGGTATAAGATAGGCTACAAAGTGTTTGTAGAAAACAGGGAATATAGCCAATATTTTGTACTAACCATAAATGGAGTGTAACCTTTAAAAATTATATTAAAAAAGTTACATCTGGTTCTCTTCCTTCAGGAATCCCCTACCCTATCTGCCTACAATGCCCTGCCTAATTTCCACCCTCTTCTCCAAAGGTAGCTACTATCCTGATACCTAGTATCATATATTAGCTTTTTCCTTTTTTACAGTTTTATATAAGTGGAATCACACAGTTTGTGTGTGTGTGTTTGAATTCTCTTGATCACTACTGTGTTTGTGATATTTATTCATATTGTTGCATGTAGCAGTACTTCATTCTTTGTCATTTCTTTATAGCATTCAATCATGAATATGCCACTATTTTTGATCTGTTTGCCTGTTGATAGGCATTTGGGTTGTTTCTAATGGCTAAGCAGGATATGTGCTGGGGAGGTCCTCATCTGAATCAGGTGCATCTCATCAATTTCTGGCCCAGACAATGTACAATGTGACTGCAGAGTTTGGTACCGTGTACTGAGATGTGGATATATACTCATTTTCTCCCTCATCTACCCTCTCTCTAAGCTTGGTCTGAGAACACTCTTGCACTTAGAGCTGCAGAATTATAAGAGTCAGTTACCAAATGTCCTGTGAAGTTATGTTAATAGGGCCTTAAAATAGCCAAATGGCCTATCTGTTGGGTTTTTTTTTCTCTAATATTTAATAAGGTGTTCAGGCATTATGAGTGTGGACCCCACATAAAGAAGAGATCTATTTACTTAAGTTTTTCCTAAACCATGGTGATTCACAAATTACATAATTTTAGGATGTTAGACCTGGTAGGGACTTTGAAGTTCATCTATTTTAATGCCCAATTTTGAAGTGATAAAAAAAGGCATAGACACATCAGTGATTTTTCCAAGGTAAAATATTTTAGGGGCAGAATGTGGTCTAAAACCTGACTAGAAGGGTCCTTTCCTCCACAAGATGGCATTGCAAGCCACTCAGAAGATTTTGTAGCAGTAACATGCCAACCTCCCTTCCTAGAAACATGCAGGTTTCCCCACTGATGCGTAGACGAATATCCACTTTCCTTCTGGGGCTGGATGAGGAGTTCCACTTTGGGGTCACTTTACACATCACTTCACCAAACACCAGTGACTTTCTTGATAGAAAAGCCACCAATAGAAAATCTGATTGTACTGTGCTCCAAGACCTCACTAGAGGAAGTTACTTGGGGATGCAG